GAAATATCTCTATACCAATGTGTAGTAATGCACGATCAGGATTAGGGTCTACCCAGAGGTCAGGAATGTCAGAGACGAGTACAAAAGACTCGGTGCCAATAAGATCTCAGTGATTTACACAACCATAAAATGTGGGCTAGTGTACCTATGTCACCACATACTGTAGTCTTCAACACGTTGAGGAGCAATTTGGGTAGATTTTTGGGTAGAAGTTTGAAAGGCGTTAAGTACCACCGACGTAATGTTCTTAGGTATAGTTCCCAATGGTTGGAGCAGTGAGATTCTATGCTGGTAGTTGAGATTGCTTTTTGCTACATCAGAGTAGAGAATGTTTCACCCAGCTCTAACTCTCATTTTTGAAGTGGGGAGATCTGGAAGCAAGGTCTGTCATCATTAAGAATTGCGTACAAAAGAGATAAACATTTTTTGGGATACTGGCAGTGAGAATAAAACTGGTAAGCACATGAAGGTAGTTGTGTCGTAGTCTGTAGTTTGGTGCAGTGTAGAAAATGGGAGATGCGAGAATAGGTAAATGCTTCAGATGAGGGCAGGATATAATCCAAACAGAGGGAGTTTAGGGATTTGAGTTTTTGGTTGAGAAAAAGGTAATCAAGATGGGCGATACGTCAGTCTTTAATAAACGACCACATAAAAGAGTTTATGCTACAAAATAATACTTAACCAGTAGTCTGCAAGGATTCACGAAAAGCTGACATTGGCAAACAAATTTCTTGTTAAGAGGAAGTAAGCAAAAACTTAGACAAAGGAGCGGCTGTGGATATAGTATACTTGGATTTTGCAATAGCATTTTGACACAGTTCCCCACACGTGGCTAACATGTAAGTTAAGGTCTACAGGCTTAGAAAAATCAGTTTACAAATAGATAAAAAAAACTGAAAACCATTTTTAGAGAGTAGTGATTAATGATTCATACTCTGAATGGACTAAGATTATTAGTTAGTGGTGTACCCTGAGGTTCAGTGTTGGGATCCTTACTTTTTAAAAGAGATGTCTTTTTTTTTTTTTTTTTAGAAATCATACACTCGTAGGTGGATGCAGCACTGCTCTGATGCTACAACTGTCCCCTGCTAAATCTACTAGAAACTGAGTGATCAAAAACTGCTGATCACTCAGTTTTCAGTGCTCCCTGAGCAAACAGCTGGTCAGTCAACGCTGTCTGCTCTTAGCCCCTCAGTGCTCACTGGAGTGCTGGACTGTGGACAGGGCAGAAGCAGCTGGCTCAAGCTCTCAGCGCCTCACTGAGAGGCTGAGCCAGCTGCTGATCCAGGCTTCTGGGTGGACCCCGGAACATATGGTAAGGATCTGTCCCAAGCCTGGACCGGCTCTATGATGTCAGCCAACAGTCTGCTCTCAGCTGAAAACAGGTCACAGGAGTGCAATTTGTTCTGTACTCCTGTGACCCATTTTCAGCTGACAGACCCCTGAAGCCCACTCTTGGCTGATGTCACAGAAGTACATATTTGGCTGTACTTCTCCTTTAACCCATTTATAAGTGATACAGAGTTTGGGTTTAAAGGTTCCATTTCAATGTTTAAAGATGATACTAAGCTATGCAGGAATAATATCCTTACATAGTTAGTCTGGCTGAAAAAAGACAAAAGGCCATCCAGTTCAACCAAAAAAAAACTTAAATTGGGGGCCTAATTTATTACTGTTAAGAGGATTGTAGAAAAAGAATAGCTAGCTGCACATTGAATGCGACCTATTCATTGGTACATAACATCGTCTTGTGGTGCAATAGGGGGCTATATAATATGCCCAAATTTTGCAATATAAGTGTTAGGGGTGCTAGTATATTAAACTTGAACATGAAATAACCCCCCCAAAATTAAACATAGTCCAAACGTTTATTGATCAAATACATATTCCACATTTATTTGGACAGCAGCAACAAGTAGGTAGTCAATTTCTTGGTGGGGAAAAATTGGGATTGACGTTGGATCTACATCGGGGGACATTTTTAGATTTTTCTTTTATTAAAGGACTTGTCAAAGACCATGTACTGTCTTTTTTTACACTACACTTTTTGTTTTTTTGTGAATGAGTAGCGGTATCATGTACCTCATACTCATTCACGTGGGGGGGTGGGATCTGGGGGCCCCCTTGTGAAAGGGGGCTTCCAGATTCTGATAAGCACCCCACCCGCAGACCCCCCCCACACACTGGCCAGGGTTGTGGGGAAGAGGCCCTTGTCCCCATCAACATGAGGACAAAGTGCTTTGGGGGGGAGCCCCCCCTGCCCCAAAGCACTCCCCCCATGTTGAGGGCATGTGGCCTGGTATGGTTCAGGAGGGGGGGCGCTCGCTCATCCCCCCTTTTTCCTGACCTGCCGGGCTGCATGCTCGGATAAGGGTCTGGTATGGACTTAGGGGGACCCCATGCCACTTTTTTTATTTTTTGGCGTGGGGTTACCCCTTAAGATCCATACCAGACCCGAAGGGCTTGGTATATGGATGGGAGGGGGGGCCCCACGCCATTTTTTTTTTTTTAATTGCTAACCTTTATTTTCAGATTCAGCTGTCAAAATATATATTATCTGGAGCTTCGAAATATGTAAAACCATTACAGAAATAATTATAAAGGATAAGAAACAAAAACAGAATCAATAGAACTAAGGAAATCAAATTAGAATACATAAAGATATGCCTAACTACAAATAGTGCTGTTTGTTAAACACAGTAGACACAATCTAGTGCCAACTGTCAGAGGACTCCACACTGAGATTTAGTATTAAACAGCGTCTATAAAGAAAGCGCCCACGGCAGACGGCTAAAATGTGTTCTGCACATGCGCATTTATATCCGTGCATAGACGAAAAGCGTCTAGTTCTTGACTGTCATGAATTCCTTTAACCCTTTGAGGACCAAGGGATGTATTTGTCTCATGTTTTTAATTGCCTGTATCATCTGATTAAGAACTTAAAATACTTCTTTTTTTTTTGGTTTGAGTCAAAGTATTAGTTCTTATCAACAAATGGATCTAGCTTTTTGCCAATTATTTCATGAATTGGCTTAGTTACAGCAACTGAAATGTACGAACTTTAAAAACAAAAAATTTATTCTTTTGGTGTTCCGTAATCTTATGGTCCTCAAAGGGTTAAAAAAACTATTTTTTAAACATTTAAAATTTTTTTTGAAATGTAAGATATTGTTTAAAGTGAAGTCCCGATATTTGTGAAAGCCAATTTCAATGTGAACATGTCTCTGCAGTGATTTTTCGTTGGGTTAGACGTGCTTCTTAGCAAGGCTGCTTTCTTAGACTGATTCCTGGATTGTGCCTGGTTAGTAAATTTGATTTTGCGTCTACTTGTTGACGCTTTTTTAGTAAATGTCTTTACCATCTAAAAGTAGACGGTCACTTTTGAAAAGTAGACGTTAGCCCACGGAAATGAGCCTAGGCACATTAGTAAATCAGGGCCATGGTGTCATGTCAGAGGTACAGCATGGGTTGACTCTGAATTTTTTTTAGCTGGTCAACCATTGAAGAGTTTGTCATCAGGTGGTTGGACCAGGCTTTAATAAATATACTGAGGAAGTTTCTGCAAACAGTATTTGCAGGATGTAGCCTAGGCAGCACAGTGGCTAAATGGCTATCACTTCTACCTGGCAGCACTAGGGTTGCTGGTTCAAATCCCAACCACAGCACCAGCTGCCTGTAGTTTGCATGTTCTCCCAGTGCCTAAGAGGGGTTTCTCCCACACTCCAAAGACATGCTGGTAGGTTAATTGGCTCCTGTCTAAATTGGCCCTAGTATGTGTATGTATGAATGTGAGTTAGGGACCTTAGATTGTACACTCTTTGAGAGGAACTGACTGATGTGAATGTACAATATATGAGTAAAGCACTGTGTAAATTAACGGTGCTACATAAGTACCTTTCTCTTTAAAGAAGCCTATCCTGTTTTCTAACTAGAAACTGCTTTTTATTTCCTCCATCAGCTCATCCCCCACAGCTATTTTTACCTATATATTTATATACCTTTTGTATCACTCAATCCTTCCTCCTAGATTGTAAGCTCTAACAAGCAGGGCCCTCTGTTTCCTCTTGTACAAAATTGTATTGTAACTGTAATGTCTACCTTTATTTTATAAAGAGCTGAGCAAACTGTTGGTGCTATATAAATCCTGTATTATAATAATAATAAAGCCTTTGGTGGCGCTATATAAATCCTGTATTATAATAATAATAATAATAATAATAATAATAATAATAAAAAAGCCTCTGGCATCCTGGGTCTTGAAGAGAAAGAATTCCTAACTGTGCTAACAGTAGGGTTACATAGATCAATTAAATACTAGGGTTTTTATAGGTGAATCTTTTAAATGTTGGCTTTCAAGCATGACAAAAGGTCATCTTTGGATACTTCTACATTTGTACAACAAACAATTACCATCAACATTTGTCCCAATAAAAGATATCGCTTAAACTACAAACTTCCTCCCGATGGCCATTGTCAGCAGGACAGAAAATGTTGGCAGTTATCATTTTTACAGTTCTCACAAAAACAAGGATAAAGTAGAAAATCTGTTCTAGTGACAACTGTCTAAGCGGGTATTTCCCTTGACTTTGGAGAAATTACTTCTTGCTTCGCCTCCAGAACAGAAAAATGAACAAAAAGCTCACCAAAAAAGATATTGACAAAAATGTGAAATGGGTTTTAAATGGTCTATACTCTGTTCAAATCTAGAAAAAAATTTTGGGATTTAGATATACTTTCATCTAAAAATGTAAGAATTAATTTTCCAAACATATGTTGACAGATGTAAAGTATTTTATATCAAGGTGATTTAAATTTTTTTTTCAGCATATACAGTTGTGTTCAAAATATAAGCAGTCAGACATCACTAATAGAGATGAGCGAATTATTCAAAAATTCGATTCGACTGATTCGGCGAATTCGTGAAAAAATTTCGATTCGAGTCGAATATATTCGCTGCAAATTTAACTTATAAAAGGGTGTTTCTAGGCTTCAGAGAGCCTTTATATTAGTGCAGAACACTGTACCTTTAATTTAAATGCCCTTGGAGTCTGCTGGGGAAGAGAAATAATACTGTCAGTCAGTATGACATGCAGATGAGTGCCGTCGATCTTAGAATCACCGCACACTTCACTCATTTGGGCAGTCACGGGGCCAAAACCAGAGTGTGGAGCCACAGTGTGGCGGTGGAGGCAGCAGCAATGGAAGGCCATACAGCACCCTATGACAAAAATGGAAACCACCAGCAGTGTGAGGAGACCTGAAAGTGGCACATGGCAGAGTGTGGTGATGGAGACAGCAGCAATGGGAGGCCGTACAGGGACCCATGACACACTCTGGACCTGGCAGCAGCATGAGGAGGCAGTACAGGGGCCCATGACAGATTACGGGCCTGGCAGCAGCATGAGGAGTTGGTACGGGGTGGCCCATGGCAGATTACGGGCCTGGCAGCAGCAATGGGAGGCCGTACAGGGACCCATGACACACTCTGGACCTGGCAGCAGCATGAGGAGGCGGTACAGGGGCCCATGACAGATTACGGGCCTGGCAGCAGCATGAGGAGTCGGTACGGGGGCCCATGACACACTCTGGACCTGGCAGCAGCATGAGGAGGCGGTACAGGGGCGCATGACAGATTACGAGCCTGGCAGCAGCAACTTGGACAGGAGGACGTTCAGCTTCTGCACCGTCGGGTGCGTGCTCGCAAACTGTTGTCTCTTGGAAAACGGATTCCAAGAAAGACTGCTGACGGAATCCGTGAAGAGGAGTAGCAGGAGAAGGAGCATCTGAACGAGCGGAATATGCCAACAAGCGAGAACAGGGGCCCATGACAGATTTACGGGCCTGGCAGCAGCATGAGGAGTCGGTACGGGGGCCCATGGCAGATTACGGGCCTGGCAGCAGCAATGGGAGGCCCGTAATCTGACAGCACCCTATGACAAAAAATGGAACACACCAGCAGTGTGTGAGGAGACCTGAAAGTGGCACATGGCAGAGTGTGGCGATGGAGACAGCAGCAATGGGAGGCCGTACAGGGACCCATGAGAGACTCTGGACCTGGCAGCAGCATGAGGAGGCGGTACAGGGGCCCATGGCAGATTAGGGGCCTAGCAGCAATGATGGGAGGCCCGTAATCTGCCAGCACCCTATGACAAAAAATGGAACACACCAGCAGTGTGAGGAGACCTGAAAGTGGCACATGTTTGGGGCATGATTCATGGCGGTTTTAGTCAGTTGTGTCAGGAACTGGTGGTTTGAAATCCAGACTAATCCACGCCTGATTCATTTTCACAAACGTGAGTCTCTCCACACTTTGGGTGGACAGTCGTGTCCTCCGCGGAGTTACAATACCTCCTGCCGCACTAAACACGCGCTCCGATGCCACGCTACTGGTCGGGCATGACAGCCTTTCAAGGGCAAATTCAGCTAGTTGGGGCCAAAGGTCAAGTTTCGTTGCCCAGTAGTCAAGGGGATTGTCTACCTCGGTTGGCAGGGTGCTGTCCAAGTAGGCCCAAGCCTGTTGTTTGAGGTCCTGCTCCAGGTCCACCTGATGCTGCTGCTGCTGCGGCTGGTTAGTAGTTTCCTCACTGCGCTGGTGAAGAAAGCTACTCATCATCGACTGCAGACTGAGGCAGCCGCTGCTGGTGGAGCTGCCACTGCTCCTACCACCCCACCCCTCCCCTGCTGCCATGGCAGCGGAACGCGAGCGCACAGGGCCCACAGTGTCTGAGGATGGACGTTGGCGCAGAAAGGCAGAGACCAACTGACTACATAGGTGGTTTTTATAGTACGTTATTTTGGCCTCTCTCTCAGCAGGTGTGAAAAAGGCCACCATTTTTGAACGGTAGCGAGGGTCCAACAAGGTGGACAGCCAAAAGTCATCCCTCTGTCTGATGGTTATTATTCGGCTATCGCTACGCAAGCAACCGAGCATGCTATGGGCCATTTGTGCCAAGGAATGCGAGGGACTCCCTGCCTCCATCTCCACAGCATACTGCCACGGTGCGTCTGGGTCCTCTGTCTCTCCTCCTCCTCCTCCTCTACCAGATGCTCCTGCTCCTCCACTCCTGTCCGCTGAGTGGAAAAACCACCCATTTCACTCAATAATTCCTGAGCACAAATGTCCTCCTCTACCTCCTCCTCCTCTCTTCCTGTCCTGCCCCCACAGGGGTCATGTGGCGTTGAGATCTGTGCGCCACGTCTACCGCAACCTGACCAGCCATTGTTAACAGCATTTGTTCCAGGACGTGCAACAGAGGAATCACGTCGTTCATCCCCCATAGTCCTGCCGACTCACGAATAGCGTGGCCTCCTCAAAGGGCCTGAGCAAGCGGCAGGTGTCACGCATGAGCTGCCAATGGCTGACATCGAAGTTACACAGGGGAGTACCTTTATCCGCTTGTAACATCAGGAAATCGGTGATGGCCTTTCGCTGTTCATAAAGGCGGTCTAACATGTGTAGGGTTGAATTCCACCTTGTTGCAACGTCGCAGATCAGGCGATGCTGTGGAATTCCGTTCTGCCGCTGCAGCTCAAGGAGGGTGTGCTTTGCGGTGTAGGAATGGCTGAAATGCATGCAAAGTTTACGTGACATTTTAAGGATGTCTTGCAGTGGGATGGTGGATTTTAGGAACCGCTTGACAACCAGATTGAACACGTGAGCCATGCATGGCGCATGGCACAACCTTCCTTGACGCAGAGCAGACACCATGTTCTTTCCGTTGTCGGTCAACATGGTTCCGATTTTCAGTTTGCGCGGAGACAGCCATCTGTCGATTTCTCTGTTCATTACACTGAGAAGTTCCTCCCCTGTGTGACTACGTTCGCCAAGGCATACCAGGTGCAGCACAGCGTGACACCGTTGCGCCCTGCACATTGAATGCCACATGGGTTGTGCGCCCATGCCATGTGAGATATGGGGACTGGGCGGCGGGAAAACAATAGACGGTGCGGACATGGGAGGTTTGCGCAAACCTTCCTTGGGGGCACTTGGCAGGCACGGGGGTTGCGGCTGGTGGACACGGCGGAAGAAGAGGTGGTAGTTGCTGGATGTGTCGTATTTTGTGCTACTGTTTCCATGGCGTACACGTCACCCTTCCACACGGGTGTGCCGACATGTGATAAGGCAGGCAAAGGGAGTCACAAAAGCGTCCACCTGTCCAAGAATGCTGGTGCGGACATCTTTGCCGACCAAGGCGTGCAAACGTGGAGGCAAAAGCGTGACCTGTCCAAGTTGCTGGTGCGGCTGTGACGGCAACGTTCACCACCAGTGGGCCGTAAATGACATGTACTGTCCCTGACCGTAGTTACAGCTCCACACGTCGGCGCTGCCGTGCACTTTGGCAGAGACCGACATGCTCAAAGACTGGCCCACCATCTCTTCTACATGTGAATGCAGGGCTGGCACTGCCTTTTTGGCGAAGAAATGACGGCTTGGCACTCTCCACCGCGGCGCGGCACAAGCCATCATTTCTCGGAAAGGTGCTGAGTCCACCACTTGGAAAGGGAGGGACTGCAGCACCAGCAACTTGGACAGGAGGACGTTCAGCTTTTGCACCGTCGGGTGCGTGCTCGCAAACTGTTGTCTCTTGGAAACGGATTCCAAGAAAGACTGCTGACGGAATCCGTGAAGAGGAGTAGCAGGAGAAGGAGCATCTGAACGAGCGGAAGATGCCAACGAGCGACAACTCCCCTCAGCAGAGGTGTTGGAGCCTTGACTGGCTGATAGAGGGCGATTGACGTCGGGTGACGAAGCAAGTAACGGAGCGGGTGATGGAGCGGGGGGCTGGGGCGGGCAGAACCGCCGTATCTTTATCACGGTTTTCCCAGGCCACCCAAATGGCGACGCTGCATATGCTGCCGCAACGCTGTAGTCCCAACATGGGCCCCCTGGCCACGCTTGACTTTCTGGCCACATAGTCGACATACGGCTACGTTTACTTCCTCGGGCGGCTTGACAAAAAATTGCCACACCGCCGAGTAGGAAACTTTGCCCCCGATACTCCTCACTGCTGCTGACTGCTGCTTCCTCCGTGCACACCGGCACCACTACTGGCCGTGGTGGTAGGCTGCAGTGGAGCTGGTGCTCTACTCCGTGGCCGTTTGCCTCCACTGACACTGCTGCGACCCTGCTGCCTCCTGGGCAACCCACCGACTGTTTTTAGCTCGCTGCCAAGCTGCCACCCTCTTCTCCTGATGATGCGGAAGCAATAGCCTGATGACGACGAGGCTGCCAAGTGCGATCAGCCTCATCATCATCAATTAGGGTCTCCGCCTCACTACTAGCCCCCTCGGCTGCGTGTGGGTCAGGAGACAGACCTGTCTCTAGACCGGCTACCGAGCCACTCTCCTCGCCACTACTTCTTCGCCTGGCTGCTGAAGAGGCGGATGTCTCCCCCCGTTCCTGACCGCCCTCTGTTAGCTCTTCCTCACTGTACAGTGGGGCTGAGCCCACAGCATGCGATACTTCGCTTGGTGAGGGAACACCAAAGGACAGGGGCAGGTAGAGGACACGTGATTTCAGTGGGCTTGCTCCCGGGCCATGCCAACTAACGGTTGTGTCTGACGTACCCACCGACCGTTGGCTGTAGGTGTCAGAGGTGACCTGGGAAGAGGAAGACGACCGAGCCAACCAATCGATGACGGCAGGGTTGTCGGTGGAGACACGACCGCTGGATGACACCGGGAGCACTGGCCTCTGGCTGCGAATAGTGCTGCCTCGACCCCTTCCTCTGCTACCACGTCTGCTCGCTCCTAAAACATTGCCTCCTCTGCCACTCCTCTGCATGTTGTCTGACATACTCTTTAATTAAACGATTCTGTGTCCCTGAGTAACAATTCTGTGTCTGTCCCTGAGTAACAATTCTGTGTCCCTGAGTAACAATTCTGTGTCCCTCAGTAACAATTCTGTGTCCCTCAGTAACAATTCTGTGTCCCTCAGTAACAATTCTGTGTCCCTCAGTAATCTGTGTGTCCCTCAGTAACAATTCTGTGTCTGTCCCTGAGTAACAATTCTGTGTCTGTCCCTGAGTAAACAATTTCTGTGTGTCCCTAAGAGTAACAATTCTGTGTGATCATTGTAACAATTCTGTGTCCCTCAGTAACAATTATTTCTGTGTCCCTGTAGTAACCCCTGTCTGTCCCAAATGAGTAACAATTGTGTCTGTCCCTGAGTAACAATTCTGTGTCCCTCAGTAACAATTCTGTGTCCCCCAGCAACAATTCTGTGTCCCTGAGTAACAATTCTGAGTGTCTGTTCCCTGAGTAACAATTCTGTGTCCCTCAGTAACAAATTCTGTGTCTGTGTCTGTGTCCCTGTAGTAACAATTCTGTGTCTGTCGCCTGAGTAACAATTCTGTGTCCCTCAGTAACAATTCTGTGTCCCTCAGTAACAATTCTGTGGTCTGTCCCTCAGTAACAATTCTGTGTCCCTCAGTAACAATTTCTGTGTCCCTCAGTAACAATTCTGTATCCCTCAGTAACAATTCTGTGTCCCTCAGTAACAATTCTGTGTCAATTCTGTCCCTAAGT